GCATCCTGTCCCCGTACCCCGTCCCTCTGCCCTCGCCCCAGCCCTGCACCTGCGCCCTGTCCTCACGCCCTCACCCTGTCCCCGCCCCGTGCTCCCAGTCTGTCTTCCGTCTGAGTGGCGCTCCACTCCCTTGGGTGGAGCGGGAGGGGGTCCCGTCGGGATCTCAGCCCCCACAGCACCCCAGCTTGTCTCTCTCTGCCCCCCCACAACTGCACATCACGTGGCATGGCCACGGGGAAAGGAGGGCTGTCCCGCCCTGGGGGGGCAGGGGAGGGGGCAGTAAGTGACCCAGTCCCAGTCTGATGGAGGAATTCGAGGGAACACAGTGGTATCTGGAGGAAATGCCAGAGACACATTTTGGACAAAATGAAGGACAAGAACAAGAGGCCCAGGAGCAGAGCTGGGACAGGACTCCTGCCCTGCCCTGCGGCTGGGCCCTCAGCGACTTCTGATTTAGGGCCCTTACCCCCTGCCAGTCCCGATTTGGGAATCAGAATGGACCGCGGCAGGGAGGCAGGCCAGGCCACCTGTTCATGTACCTGGAGAGCCTGCCTTGCTGTGTCTCCTGAGGCCACACTGCTGGCCGGGACAGCATCTTCCTGGAGGAGATCCTGGGGGGCTCCACTGCTGACAGCCCCAGCCACCAGAGCCTCCTCCTGACCCGTGAGGGGGAGGGTCCAGCACACCCCTCCAGACGCTGGTGAGCCCTGTTCCTGTTCCTGGAGGCTCCAGGAGGAAGGAGGCACGGTGCTGTTTCCACTTGGCGACCTGCTCTCTAGTTCAAGGCTCTCCCCTTCTCAGCATCAAAGCCGCCTCCTCCAGGAAGTACTCCAGAGGCACCCTGCCTGCTCTCCGTCCCACAGAAAACCTCGCCTGTCTCCTCCAGTCCCTCCTTGGGAGAAGCCGCCTTGCGGCCCTCCCTCAGCCACCCCAGCAGTGCGGGCTGCCTGCAGCTTCCCCTGGAGGCTGTCTGCCAGGGACCTGTGATGGTCGAGATGAGGACGGACAGTAGTGATGAAAACACGCATAACCTTCCCTTCCTCTTCACAGCACTTTCTAAATTCCTTGAACTGTTTTTTTGGTAGAAAGTTTGCCTTCTGAAGGGACACCATGCCGGTCAGGTCCTCCTGTGCTCACGTGACCTCAGAGGAGGTGGGGCGGGTGGGGGTGACCTCCCGACATTTCAGGAGAGAAAATCGAGGCCTGAGAGGCGGTGGTTCTCCCAGGGTCCTGCACGCACGCGGGTGGTGGGACGGAGACCTCGCCGCCCTGGGGAGGCGTCTCACCTGCATGAGCTCTGCAGCCGGCTGCTGCGCCTTGGCCTCCAGCTCGGAGATGAGCAGCGCCAGCCGGGCCAGCTCCCCAACGCCCCTGCTCTTGTACTTCTCGCGGCCCTCCGCCAGTTCCTGCTCCAGCTTGGCGAGCTGGTCCAGCAGGTGCCGCTCGCGCTCCCGCAGGAACTGGTGGGCCTGCTCAAACTCAGCCACGATGTACTGCCTCTGGTCCTGGAGCTTCTTCTGCAGGGGTGCGGAGGGGAGAGGGGGTGACGCTTCTGCCCTGAGCTGGAGAACCCCTGCAGCGTCTGCTGTTAGAGCCACAGAGGCCGGCTCCCACCCCCATCCGTGCGCTAAGGCGCCTCAGAGCACACCTGGCCCAACCTC